GATTCTTCTTTTGTAACATGCATGAAAATTATCACACCTATTAATAATGGTTTAGATAAATCAATCTTATTGATTTTTACTTGCTTAGTAGAAACTTTAGTTAATCTATGGAAAAAATCAAGATTATGAGAAATTGAGTCTATTTGTGGATTATTCTTTTTTAGCCACAATAATCCTAAAATAATTAAATTAGAAGGAACCTAATTATATTATATATTACTACATTATTGTGACTATTATTTATTACATTTAAAAGAATAATATCATGTATAATATCTCAAAAAAATAATAAAAAACTATCTATTACTTCTACATGCACATGTTTGATTTTCTTAATTAAAGATGTATCCTATTTTTGAAAAGATCTTTTTTTATAAAATAGGTTGAGACTCTTGAATCTAACAAGGCTAAGACTTTGTAATTTTTTGGTCCTAAAAAAACTTATATTATTAAACAATGTGAAGGACCTAAGGAGAAAATAGGATCTTTATTAGATATTATATAAGATTTTAAGTGCATGATCCTTATTATAGTTTGAAAAACTTTTTTTTTAATATATTATTTCTTTAGCAACCATATTCTTCATTTTATAATTACGTTGCTTCTTCAATACTGTTAAGCAATGTACTTAAGTTCTCTATAATATAGGCATAAACCTTTTTGTCAATAATGAGTCTTTTCTTGCTTAATAAGAAATTTAAAATGGAATGTGTCAATTTGCATAGGCTTTGACTTAGACAAATAAGCTTTTGATAATTTAGAAGATGTCACAATAGCCTCATTTGTACTTTTCCAATCAAAACTTTATTCTTTACATCTTTCAAAAAATTAATTGTTGCATGCAATAGCTTTAGTAATAAATTGCTCAAATGAACCTACTCTTGGCATTGTCAATAATAAATCTTTAATATTATCTTTCAATCCATATTTAAACTAATTCATAAGGATTTTGTCATTCTAATCTATGTTGCAAATAAGATTTTAGAATTGAATAATATATGTGGTAGCTAAACATGATCCTTATTGTATAAATACAAGCTTGGTCTTTGCTATCTTTTTTCAATCATTTTTTCTAAATATAGTCATAAATACTTTCAAGAATGAATTTAAACTTTAGAGTAGTGGTAAATTTTTTTTATTAAAAGTTCAAAGCAAGAAAGTGCACTTTTATCAAAAAGTGCACCTATGAATCCAACTTGAATAAATCCATTGGAATATTAGAAAGGATGCAACCTTAAATAGAGCTTAATTTGTTGTAAAAATTCTAGAAAATTTTGATCATGTTCTATCAAACTTCTTAGGCATATTAATCCTTATTTTTTTTATATTTGTAGAAGCAAGACTTTTTAAATTTAGTTGTAAGATTGATCTACTTACTTCCCTCAATTGAAAAACTTCTTGGCATAGACTCTAGACTTCTTTTATAGGAGTAAGAATAGTATTTTTGTAGTTGGTGTTGGTAATGCATGAAAATTCTATGCTAAGAGTGTTGACAAACTCATGAAGATCTACAATAGTTGCAATTTTATTTTCACTTTTGTCAAGTATAGCATATATGATTTTTCCTTTGTTTCAAACAACTCAACAGATCTATAAGTCAAAATAGAAGAAGATAATTTATAAATTCTAATATCAAATAAAAATTTCTATAAAAAAAGATAATTTACTTTTTTTGAAGAAAAAATTAATATTAAAAAAATAAATTATTTATTTAAAAATAAATAGTCCACAAACTTCAAAATACAACAATAGAAGTAGGATAATTTATTCACTTTTTAAGAAAGATAATAACAATGAATTAGCACTCTTATCAAACTATCAATGACATAAACTTTAAAGAATTAAAAAATAATACATTCTTGTTTCTCTCAAAAAGATTAAAAAAAAAAAAAAAAAAAAAAAAAAAAAAAAAAAATCACTCAAAGATGATATAATATTCAACTAAAATGGCTATTACTAAGGGCAAAAAGACTATGAAGCCTTCAAACACAAGTAAGGATTAGAAAGGCATTGACAAGAATAAAGAAGGCTTCACTCTTACCTCCATATATACTATCTAACTAGGAATTATGTGGCAATGTTCTATAGGACCTCCAACACATATTGACTTTGTAAAACACATATAACTTACAAGGCAAGTTTTTCATATGTGTGTCACATAGTTAGCTTGTTCTACAAGCTACCAACATGCATGATATGTGGTTTTCTTGTTGATCAAGTTTCTAACCTACCAATCAATAACAAACATGTATAAAATCAAATCACATCTATAAAGCTTTGAAGAAGCTCTTTTAAAAGATATTATGAAATCAATCTATATTTAGCTACTTATACCTTATTATATAAGTAATTATTAGAATTAATATGTATAATTGTGACATATTAAAAGAGTTTGTTTGGCTATGCTAATTCAACCATTTAGTAAAATATTAGGTTTTTTTCACACTTGTACTCTTGTATTCCACACTTTGTGATGTGAGAGCTTGTTTAAATTAGTTGTGTGGAGATTTATCATCTTTCACTTGACAATAATTTATTATACACAAAGGTTAAATTCATGGTTTTAGGTATTGACAATGGAGGCAAAGAGGAGCATAGGAGAGGGGTCGTTGCTTTGTAGAAGGTGCTGGATTACATAGCTCTGGCTCTGGAGGGTTTCCGATCTTATTGGGGCAGCGAATTCTCGGGACCCACAATAAATTTCCACCACGAATAGGAGGAATTGGAAGAGCTAGGAATGAAGTAGGGCAAAATTGCGTGTGGGTCAGGACGGATGAAACTCCTCACCACCTTCTCAGCAAGTAGGGCACTCCCTTTCCACCTTTGCAGTTCCCCGTTTTAGTCTCTCTGCCGACGATTCGAGGGAAGAAAAAAAAACAAAAAAAAAAAAAAAAAAAAAAAACACACACACACACACAACACAACAACAACAACAACTGACTGACTGACTGCAGTGGGGCACGGATCACACCAGAGTTGGTGGCTGACCCCAATATTATGAATGGTGGCGTTGAAGAAGAATCCAAGAGCGCCAGCTGGGACCCAAGCGCGTGCGAGAGCTCCGACGGATCCAACAATACCATGATCGGGATCTACAGATTCGCCACAACTAGTGCTGCTACTGCCACCATGGCTAGATGGATTGGCATCCACTCCCAGATGCCAAAGATTTGTTTGTCCCGAGGCGCCACACACGATGTGCAACGAGACCGAGGCTGTAGCTGCCAAATCCCCCAACGGTCCTTTCCTCCTCCTCCCGTCGTTTCCTCATTTAGTCTGTAACGTACCGCGCATTCATGTGTGGTCGTCACTGTGAGTCACGGCAGCACAGGAAGTGTCGTCCCATTCACGCAATTCGTCCTTCTCCATTCCTACATGCTCACTGTGTTGCTTCTGCTCCGTGATTCATACGTCCACGAATTATTCGTCGTCTTTGTTGTCGTCGTCGTCGTCTATTTGATATCCCCTCTTCTTCTGTTTGAGCCCTTTGTAGAGACCTAACATTGGACGTTGAAAATTCCATACCCATCAGCTTTTTATTTTTCTACTTTAATTGGATTGTCAAAACATAATTGTGTGTGCGCGTGTGCGTGTGTATTTTCAAAACTGATTACATGGGCATATTGAAAATGGGTCCGTAGTTGAAATCCACGCATCATGCTCTCTTCACTGCAGGAAACTTGTGTTGGCTCAATAATTGACTTCTGATCAATATGGCAGTGATTTGAATTTGAAATGCTTTGTGGCGACTATGCATTGTTATTTTGTGAAATAAGTAACATCTGTGCAGCATGTTTCAATTATGTTTATTCTGACAATTCTGTATTCATTGAAACATGTGGGCACAAACTGATGTCATTTGCTAGCATTTGGTTCCTTTGGATTTTTTATGATGTATTTGAAAAAATATTTGTTTGGGTTAATAGAAAGAAACTATTTTTAATTAGAACTCACAATATTGCATAAAACCACACCCAACATCATAGTTAGTACTAATCCTTGGCTTGTAATTTGAACCTTCACATTTCAAATAGGGGCTTTTGATTTGATTGGGCCAACACGATCTGTTAATTAATTTCATTGGCAAACTCCACAGCAATGTTGACTTAAAGATCACATTACAGAATTTTTCAAAAAATTTAAAACAGGTTATTCCAAATCCAGTTTTTATAATCTATCAAAACCTTTGCATGACTGCTCGACAGGAACAAGTTCAAATGAGCCATTCAAATTTTTGGTTAAATTTTAACTTTGCTTGACACTAAAAGTAACAATATTCTATTGTTTCTGTTCAGATATCAAAGTCAATCATTCCAAATCCTAGTGATAAATACTATAAAATCAGCCTTATGTTTGTGCAATACTCCATTCAAAATATCTTGGGTGTATTATATAAATAAGTGAGAATGTAGAGAAGTTTTTAACATTTAACACACTCCACTGCTGTTCATACAACTTCCATGATCTTCACAGACCAGTTGTTGTTGTGGTTTTGTTAAACCCACACACACCCCCCAAGTCATTAATCAAACACACAGACAGACAAAGGTTAATTGAAGGATACCCAATAACACATAAGGGTAGTAGGTAGCTTATCCAGGAGGAGCCAGAAAGGTGACGTAAGCAAAAAGGAGGGAAAGAGGGGGGGTTTTTTTTGATCTAATCAGCCTTGGTTCGGAGCCAGGTTCGGTGATAGGCTCGACAATATTGGATGCGGCACGAACCTCCAGATGGCCCTTGAAATTAGAAAGAGAGAGCGAGGGAGAGAGAATCCCATTCCCGACACCGCCCGAGCAGTTTGGACCCATTCCCACTGGGGCCGGGAATCCTGGGATGAATTTTAACCCCGATCAACGAACAAACGCGGTTCTCTTTATAAAGGGGGATGATTGTTCGTTCGTTCGTTCATCCCTGATCAGAAGCTGAAACATACACCTGTGGATTCTTCCATCATATTATTCTTCGCCCGCTGAGTTCGGATTCGTACTCTGCTGAGGAGTCTGTTCATCCATTTATCCGCAGAGCATGTCCCGCAGTTCTCTCCGTCCCTTCTCTCCTCGTTTTGGTTTGTTATTACTTGTTCCTCCTCACCTGACGTCTTCCTCCTCGTCGGTGATCTCTCATGTTTGCTTGTACCAGTCGACAGCAATGGAGGAGGCTTGCGGGTCGCAGTCACGAGAGAGGTTGAGGAGGCGGTTTTTTTAGTCAACGCAGGTGAGGCTGAAAGTGCAAGTCTCTTTCTTGGAGGATGCGTTTTCTTTTTTGTTTCTTTCTTACCTTGAGTTGGCAGAGTTTGTGTAGCACTGTCTGTAATGAGTTGTTGATTGGCGCGATGATGCGGAGGTTTGTGACAGGAATCGCGCCGGGAGGTTTCGGAATGGTCCGAGTGTGTTGGAGGGATTTGGGCGCGTTGGTGGTGTGACGTTATTCCGTACCCGGTACTATGTTCGTGTGTTCGTTTCGAGCGTTGGCCTTGGCGATTGCTCGGGCGGGGGTTTTGGTATTCTCCGCCTGTACGGAAGCGGGCAGTAGTCGGGGTTTTCGTGATACTTATCGAGGAAACGAGGAGTGCATGTTGATACCCGGTTGATCAGTGCGTCTTCGGTGTCGGTAGTCTGTCAATAATTCCACTGGCTTTTGCGGTGTGGTAGTTTGGATGTCGTTTAGGTCGTTTGTGTAATTTGTGACTCTGTGTTAGAGACCTGTTTACTTTCTGACACGTCCAGGTTTGGGACAGACAGCGAAGATGCCCGGAATGGGTTGGTAACCGTTTTGGTACTTTTTGAAGGCGGGTGCAAATTATGACAAGTTGGTTTTCTTGGAACCAGTGATTCACGTGACTATCGTTGTTCGGAGCGACCAGCGCCTACTTGCGCTGTCACTTTGATGCGGGACTGAAATGTGAAAGTGCACGATATCTTTTCTGAAGGAGATTTAGAGACCAGAGTAGGGGACAGGGATTGATAGTGATCTCAAGGAGTGACGCCAATATGGGCAATTCCTTTGGATGTTCGGCGTCCGGGGAGCGACTGGTGTCAGCAGCACGGGACGGGGATTTCCAGGAAGCACAGGCTCTTCTAGAATGCAACCCCCGACTGGCGAAGTACTCCACCTTCGGGGTGCGCAATTCGCCCCTACATTTCTCGGCTATTCAAGGGCACAATGAGGTGGGTGTACTCTTTCAATTTCTGGAACTATGTATTCTCCACCTCTACGCTTTGCTTGTGATTTTGACACGTTTTCACCAGTGCTTAGCATGCTCTGTATCTCAGCATTCTATCGAGTATGAGGGGAGTGATACCTACATTACAATCCTGTACGATCTTCACGATCTTCTTCCATGATAAGTAGACGCAATCTTTACTAGATCTAGAAATCCTCTTAGAAGCGTGCGGTTTTCGGCTTCTTTCATCACGCATCGTGTACTTCCAGTTCGTTTTGGCTCGTTGTTGTAATCGACGTCTAAATGCCCGCGGCCTGAGATTCTTGGGTGTTACGCACATGTTATTTGTGTCAGTTGGCAGAATTCATCAGGTCTCCTCTTTTTTTTTGAGTTAGTTTCCCTGAAACTTGTGGCTGAGTTCGTTCTCGAATTTCATATCGTTCTTTGGATTCATACGAGTAATCGCTAGATTCTGCGTGGTTGTTTTAGCAACGTTTAGATTTTGATACTGCTAACAGATGGGATAGATGGAATTTATTGTGGTTAGAAATTTCTTGCGAACCTCGGATATCCGGTTTTGTTCTCTGATCGTTGACACACTGCTGGCCTTTTTTTCGCGATTTGTTGATTCAGATTGTGACGTTACTTCTTGAATGTGGTGTGGAAGTCAACACTCGGAATTATTGCGGACAGGTAATCAAGTTTATACCCTTATAATCGTGCATATTAGGGCACGCCAGGAAATGCTGATGTTTCATGTAATAATTCGTAATTCTCATTCAGTATTTGTTTACTTTTTAAATAAATGTTCTTGCTTATCTGGTTCATATTTTGGTATGATTGAACCTTCACCGATTTTCGTTATGTGAATTCGCAGACTGCACTTATGCAAGCTTGCCGTTACGGGCACTGGGAAGTGGTGCAGACCCTTCTCCTCCACAGGGCAAACGTAAGCGAACCTGGAACTCCTGCATCATGTCCTATTGTGGCGTTGGTCGTCTTCCGAAGAAATATGGGGAGTTGTATCGTACTGTTATCTTATTGCTAGAGTCAGATCCTATCTTGAGGAATCGCCTGTCTTCGTGTTCGTTATATCTCATTCTCACAGGGTTTCTACTGCATATTTGGCACATTGTTCAGAAGTTTAATGTGCCGTAGAGTTTACAGTGTCTTCATTGCATGTATGCCTTCGACTCTCTTAGCTTTGTTGAAGGCCCAACGGTCTTGGATTATCATAATTACTACTATTTTTGTACTTTGTTGTCGCTCAAGGAACTACTAGACTCTGATACTCGTCAACAGCTTCTCAGTGTATATAAGATCCGAGGTTTTTATGTGCAGGTTCACAGAGCAGATTATTTAAACGGTCGCACTGCTCTGCATTTTGCTGCTGTCAGCGGCCACACCCGATGCATGCGATTGGTTTTAGCTGATTTCATGTCCAGCGTTCCCTACCTGTGGAACCCCTTGCAGATTGTGAACAGCGATGACTCACTGTCCGTGAAAAATTATTCTGATGAAAGGTTCTATATTAACACCATGTTCTTCTTTTAGGTTTTGTTCGCTGTGCGTATCGTTTAGTCTTAAGATATTTGCAATTCAGTTGTATGTGAGGGGCGTTTGGTAATGTTTCATCGAAATTCGAATGGATCTTTCATTCCGCTCCTTATATTTGATGGGTTGGGTCTTGCAGTTCCTTATCTAGGGTTGTGAATAGAGCAGCTGACGGAGGCATAACATCACTACATATGGCTGCCCTCAATAGCCACATTGAGTGTGTGCATTTGTTGTTGGATCTTTCCGCAAACGTCAACGCAGTTACCATTCAAGATGGCACCACCATAGATTTGATAGGTATATGTTCTCCGCAACCTTAGAGGTTCGAAATTGACCAAAAACAAACACAAGTTGTCTTCATCATTGTCTTATTTTAGATGACTTGTTTTAAGACAATTCATGAAGCAGAATCATTCTACACATTTTAAGACTTCATATGTAACCCTGCTGAGGAGAGATGTTGGGATGCTCTTACAGGGGCAGGTAGTGCGCCGCTGCATTATGCCGCTTGTGGAGGCAGTATACCCTGCTGTCAGGTGTTTATTATATTCTATGACACGAAGTTTGTTGGCTCTTAAGTCTACTTGTCGATGGATATGCTTTTGCCGATATTCTCTACTTAAGAGCCTTAGCCTAATGACCTAATGTGGCAAGGGAATTTTCCATCTGGTTCCGAAGGAGGATTTCTAATTGTCTTCTGAATACAGGCTCTCATTGCGAAGGGGGCGAGTCGAACTGCAACAAATTGCAACGGGTATAACTGATGCTTATCTTCGTGCATCTTCTTCGAAATGAAATCCTATGTCTATTATAAGTATCAATTGCCGTGCCTCATGTTGTTTCACCATTTTTCAAAATGTATTTTCTGCATGTTACTATTCATATAGCTCTTGCTAAACATCGAAGATCTGCCATTCTGATGTTTTTTAGATGGACACCGTTGCAAGTGGCACGGCTGTGGCGTCGGCATTGGTTGGAGCCTCTGTTGAGTCTTGACTCATCAATTCCTGTCCAACCTCTTCCACCGTCACGCTACCTGGCCCTTCCCCTCTCCAGTATCATGAAGATAGCTAGGTACGTAGATTTGATTTCATAAATAGTATTATTACTTTTGACAGTTCAGCTGATGATTATATTTTAGAATTTTGTGTACATATTTGTGTGTGTTGTGTGCAATAGAGTCGCATAGTTTTCTTGTCCCTGTTATGTGCGATATCAATGATGTTGATGAGGCGTCGCAGTTTAACAGCCACTTATTTCGAAGATTTTCTACATTTTGCAGGGACTGTGGCTGGCGAAGTGTGGATTCTGTACCTTTGGACGCCGATCCATGTTCTGTTTGTCTAGAGAGACGTTGCACTGTCGCAGCTGATGGTAAACTTAGTCCCTTTTTATGTTCTACACTGTAATCTGATGTGTTCTTTTCTAGGATGTTTCATTTGGTGGAAATGAAACCTTCTTAGTTTTTTACTGGAGCTATTCTGATAACGTATAAGTGTGATGCTTCAGGTTGCAGGCATGAACTTTGCACACGTTGTGCTCTTTACCTTTGTTCCACAAACATCGGTTCCTCTACAGCCTCAAGTCCACCAGGAGCTATTCCCTGTCCTCTTTGCAGACATGGCATTGTATCGTTCGTGAAGCTTCCAACTACCATGTCGCTCAAGGATCTTGCTAAAGTGAATATAAGTTCCCTTACTCTTTGTACGACATGTACGATGGAAAGTTCTGAGCCGAATTCTGCCAGGGCTCTTTTACAGAAGGCTGAGAATAGAGATGGTTCTCAGATGTCTCCGCTTTCCTCTCACTCGTTAAGATTGACTTGCCCAGGCTTTTCCTCTTTGAATTGTCCAGGAGGCTTTGGTTCTACTGGCGAGAATTCCGGGTGCACCTCACCTACTTTGACGTGCGGATTTGTAAGGTCTGATTCTCGCGCAGAGGTTAGAACCGACGACTCCACAACGATTGAAACTCTTGCTTGGCCGCTGCCTTCAAGGGTATCAATGGCGAGACCAGCTCCTGTGGAGTCATCTAATGCTCTACCTATTCCGTCACACGTTGATGATACATCTACTTCTAAACCTGCTCCTAATCGCCCACAGAGGATTTTCTCGTTGCCCAAGAAGGTATCTACGAGCCGACGGTGGTTGAGGAAACCATTTCGTTGTACTAACTATGCAAGCTTGCGGCCGCACAGGGATTAATCACAAGTGAAATAACTCTTCCTGGATCGTCTGCATCGGGTTTATGAAAGGTTGAAGCTGGAATTCGAAGGCAAATTTGTTTTTGTCCCAATTTGGAACATTGGATGGCATCATTCGTTGCCATAATCCCCGGTCATTCTTGTATCACAATTCATAGGTAGAATTCAGTTGCCTATTTTGACGGATTAGAATTCTGGAAGAATGGTACAACTAACCAACAGCTCGTGGAGATTCTGAAAGTAGTTTGAATGGTTAGTTCGTACATTTGTACTATTTTAGGAGTAGCGTTCTTTGCCACATCTTGTAGTCTTAAGTGGCCATTGAACTCATGTGAAGTAATCTATTCCTTGAGAAAGCTGGCATGCCTCGTCTTGAGACTCATGTTCTGCAAGTAGTAACTACAGGCTTGTACTTGGACGATGTGAATACGCACATCACAGCCATGTGTGCAAATTTGTACTATGTGATAACTGATGACCTCCCAAGCCTGTTTGTGTTAGGTTAGAGTACAGCTTTATGTGGTCTAATAGTTTCATTAGATATTTGTACCTGTTATTTAAGATACAACAAGGTAAGCTCTATGGTTCATATTTCTCTACTAACCAGACAGGTTAGGTACCTTCTTTGGTGACGACGATGGCAATATGTTGCGACGGTAGTGCTTCCATTTCTTTAATGTGAATTCTTGTGTTGTGAGCTTTAACTGCATGAGCCAATTAAATACATCGCATCTACTGATTTCAGTCATATCCGTCTTCAGTTGTTTTTTAGAACGTTTACTGGCATATTTATTTATCTACCTTGGTACTTCATTTGGTTCAAAAATGTAGTATTGATTGAATTATAATTGATTTTGGTATGTAGACTAAAGTTTGTGTATATTCTATTGTATTGCATGTTACGATTTTGGACTGTTGTTTTTATTGTCACACTACCCCTTCTTTATTTCCATGGATCAAATATTGTGCTGTACTTGAGGTACAAAGTGGTGGCGGTTTTTGCAGTATTTGGTGATGATTTGATTTCATGGTTTGGGCTCTGCATTTTCTATTTTCTGGTGTTGCATCAAGTAGTACATTATTCAACCTCAAACATGTGAACTGTGTTGATTGAGGTTTATGCTAAGTACCGCAGAAGTTATGTATTTTCAGCGTATGTAATTGTGTACTACATCTTACGTTCCTCAAGCAGAAATTGCACATCAATTGCACAAAAGTGGTGACGTTTTAAAACATACTTCTAGTACATTTTCAGCGCTTTAGAAGTTAGATAGGTAATAATTCCACATTTACAGAGTTGTAGAAGTTATGTTTTGAGCAGTTTAGGAAGACATCAAATTGAATAAATACATAGTTGGTTGTTGCAATCTAATAACATATAAAAACAAAATAAAAATTTGTGAATTGTCTTGGATTTCAAAATACAAACTCCACCTTAAACATGAGAAATCGTGCTATTAGTATTTTACAACCAGTTTGTAATTTGTTTATGATGTGTCTAATTACAGTTTTTAGTATCACGATTTCTTGAAGAATGAATTGTTAGGAAGGAAGTGATGCCGTATTTACAAAGGCAACTGCTTATGTTGAAAAAAGTTATTGTAACTTGGAAAAACAAATTTCCGGCCGTGCAAATAAAAGTCTAAACGCAACAAATATTGTGGATGACTTCATTCTAGAGAAGTTCTCTGTTAAATTTGTTCACATACTTTTAATGTGTTTGGTTTGTTAGTAGCAAACTTCCTTACATCTTGACTTAGTTACTTACACATTCTAAGTTAAGAATGTCATAATTAACGTAGCATTCAGCATTTCAACTCGTCCTGCATGAAAGTATTGATTTGTCTGTCAAAGTATCGATTTGTATTCTTGAAATCAATAAGCAACTTTCCAAAGGAATGAATTTGCATTAACTATGTTTATTATTATTATTATTATTATCATTATTATTAATATCCATTATTTAGATTCTAAATCTGATTTAACAAAATTGCAATTATATGTATTGATGTTTTGTATCCAAGATCATTATTTCATTCAACGCATCTTCTTGTGACTCTATTTATTTGACTAAGTGATATAGAATACACACAAGTGAGGGTTTTGTTTCACAAACAAAAAAGAACAAAACCTCAGTCTAATCTAGTGCATCAATTCTGGAATCTTCTAGGAAACACTATCTCATATTTTCTCAATCAAAACACACACACACACACACACACACATATATATATATATATATATATATTTATGTAAATATTAATAAGGGAATGACAAATAGACTAAGTAAATCTACCCATTCATCCTAACTATCATGAAAAAAAAAAATGGCCTCTAAATTCATTTCTCCACTATTGGATCTACAACCAATAAAACCAATGATTACCACATTCTTCATCGATAGTGCATCTATTTAATAAAAGCATTGGTCTATTTAACATTCCTTTATTTATTTATATATGATTCAACATTCCCTTATATATCTATTATATATATATACATAATTTATTTCACAATTTGAAAATAATGGTTTTCTCAATTTACTAAGCGGCCCTCCACCGTGGCACAATTCTTGCTGACTTGGACCCCATGAACTCAGTAATGAGACCATCATCCTCGGTAGTCCCAGTTATCCGGTGATTAGAGACCGGATCTACCAGTCTCCACCAGGGCCCATTCCAGGCGGAACGGTCGTCCTCTCGAGTTACACGCTTGGCCCCGTGGTCAATTCTGCTCTGGACACCGCAAATTCCACTTGGGTCTCCGAGTTTTGCTGTTGTTGACCTCTCTACACCATAGATCCGACGCCGTGATCGTGGTTTTTGTTCACGGTTTCAATTACACTTCTACCTCGCGACCATCTCGACGCGTTCATAGACTAGCAGACAGTTAGTAAATCCAAGGGGGCGTTGAAGAGAAGCACCAAGGGTGATTGATGCATTGGGGAGCTGTCGTTTTGTAAGTGTTTTTGCGTTGCTGTTACGAGTGGGGTCGAAGCGTTTTTTTTGTTTTGTTTTGTATTTTGGGTGCTTACTAGGGTGTCATTCTGTGCTAGATAGAGGAGGCTCTGTGATGGTCTGCTGAATCGAGGAGGGTATTTCATGGCTTGCTGAATCTTTCTCCAGTCGTTTCGATCAGTCGGCCAATTCTCGGCCCTCTTTTTGGGGTTTCGTCTGTCGTGTGGGTAGTTTGGGGTGGAGCTGCATTCTGTGGTGCATTACAGCTATGGGATTTTCTGTGTTTGTGAGAATGCCTGCCAGGTTGCAAGTGCCGTGGCCTGGTTGAGACCAGAAGTTGGCTCATGCGTACTCGTTAGGAATGTTAGTCGTTGTTTCGCTCCTTATTGCAGAGGTTTTGGATTTTCCACGCCAATGCTGGATTCCTCCTGGTAGCTTTTCTGACAACGAAGTGATTGCATGGTATCTTGACACTGGACAACTGGTTTAGATCGTTGATCGTTGAGGCGAATTTTCTTTCGGGGGAAGAATTAGTCGGAATTATGATGTTAGTTGTTTAAAAACTAACCTAAGAATTAGTTAGATTTGAATCTAGGATCTAATTAGGTCAAATGTGATTCGTACGAACAGACGTTTAGGGCTAATTCCCTGTAGGAGATCAGAAGGATTTCTTATTTTTCCTTCCAAGTCGCCGTGTTGTATGTTCCTATTCATTTATGAAGCGAGTGTGCAGAATTTTTTGACGGGATTTTATGTAACTTCATCTGTTACCTCAAAATTCTGTTTAGCGAGGGTTTAGTTAGAAGTCACTGAACTTCTTGCCATGTCTCGAATGCTTCTGCGAGTCCATTCTCTCTGTTTCCAAAGTTCGTTTTTTTATCTTTTATCTTTTTTCTTTTTTCTTCTTTTGTTCCCGATTGTAATAACCTATCAAATTTCGGCCCTGGAAACTTAAGATGTGTTTTTGGGGGATGTCGTCCCAGGTGTCGTCAGTGACAGGTATAATTTGGATTTTTTGAAAATCATCTTTGAATACTTTTAGTCCCCTTTGTATCTTGCACTGAATGTACACATCTTACTTTGTATCCGTCATATACTTGCAGAGCTCTTAAGACATGAGATGAATAATACTACAATTCAGGAGATGCAAAGCGACATTGAAGAGCTCTTCGATAATGAAGGTGAACGCCCATGTTATTTGTCAGATGAGACACATTCTGAGACCGTGAATGGAGCAAAAAACTCGGATTTGGAAGCTGACAATGCGGCTAAGCTTTCAGACCTAGACGTAAGTGGCAATACACAACAGGATTCAACCCATGATCTCAGCAAGGGGTCCTCTGCACCTAAACGCATGGTGGAGGAAGGTGAGCCGCAGTTTTGGGTCCTTCGAGGCTCTTGTATTCCCTATTTTGGCGAATGTCTGCAACCTGTTGCGTCTAGAAAAATTTTCAGGGTACTCAAGAGGTTACATTGACATAAGTAGTAGTTATTGAAGTTTGCAAACTTCATTGCCGAGGTACTACACTCTTGATGGTAAATGGTTTGTTTGTTTGCTCTCTCTCTCTCTCTCTCTCTCTCTCTCTCGCTTCTTTTTCGCTGTGGTAGGCCGTAGCGTTGCTGATAGCAAAATCTTGGATGAGAATCATGAAGTTGATATTATGACTATAGGGTCTTTAACCATTATTATTGGACCAACTAGTACCGGGATTGGCACTTTTGGTTACTGATGTTACAGATGGAGATGCTTTGTCCGAAGATGCTATCCATGATGGCTCCGTGAGTCTAAGCAGTAGCCGTGACGGAACTAGTGGTTACTTAGCAGGCAGTGGCAGTAGTACTGCTAGTGTCTGTAGTGCGAGTGGAGGCGATGAAAAAGCTGATCGAATACCGATTCAGGAGTCCATACATCTGGAAAGGCGAACTTGGATTCCTGGAAAGCGTCATCCAGAAGAGGTCTATTTTGCTCATTTTCAATGTACATAGAAGGATTTCTATGTCGAAACAGTGAGATGACTGTACAAGGGTTAGGTCGTTTTGAGGAGCTAGCACCGCGTCCGTGAGAGTCTTTTGGTTAAAAATGTACCAGTTTCAGTTGGCTTTCTACGTCTCATCGACATTGCAATCTATTATGATCCACGTCTAGGGGATTTCGGGTCTTTTGTAATTGGTTTTATAAGATATATCCCGGTATCATGGCCAGAGTCGCAATTACATATCCACCCTACTAAATATGTCTGTGCTTTTGCCCTTTGCAGGATGACACGTCCCCTTCGTGGCGAAAACACAAAAAACATTTCTTTATTCTTAGTAATGCAGGAAAACCGATATATTCTAGGTTTGTTTATGACGTTGTGAATTGTGTTCAAAAATATCTAAAGAAACATTATGTCTGTTGAGTGATTTCTTTGTGTTGGAGTTCAGCTAATGTTCATTTTCACATGAGCTGAGACCGAAGTCCAGTTTATCTCTATTCCGGGAGGGATAATTATCCATTTTAGTATTTCGTTACGTTAGTTTTGATTAGGTTCTTTAACCTGATATCATTCCGTGTGGTTTTTTTGAGCAGATACGGGGATGAGCACAAGCTTGCAGGTTTCTCAGCGACATTGCAAGCTATCATGTCTTTTGTTGAAAACAGGTATCACAAAGTCGCATCCGGGAGCAAAACCAAATGGATAGTTCCTATCATTTTTGGCATTGGCATTGTAGTTGGCGTGCTTTATCCATCATCTGACCTGGTCAGCATATAATGAATTAAGAAGCAGATCCTGATTATGATTATGGTTGTTTTAACTTGGTGTCTGTTGGAAACATGCAACTTGGATGCTGAAGTGGAGACACGATTCGATTTGTAAAAGCTGGTGACTACCAGGTAAGAGTGTATTTTTCTCCCTGCTTGAGATGTCCAGAGCTGGGATTTCTTACCCTCCTGCTTAAGATGCCCAAACTTGCGCAAATCTGGGCGGCACATTTGAATCGTGAAGTGCCACTCCTCCTGACCATGGAAAATGGATCCTTTTGTGTTCTCCTGTTTGTGGTAGTGAGCATGTGTCAAGCATGTTGTTTATATTGATTTTGCGTTATGTTCTGGGAGTGCTGCTGATAATGCGAAATGATGCAGATAGTCTTTTTGGTGAAGGGTCCACTTTACCTGGTGGCAATCAGTGCTACTGAAGAGCCTGAGCAGGTTATCAGGTGGCAGCTAGAGCTGCTACATGCTCAGGTTTGTTTCCGTTTCCTACTTGTTTTTCTTTTCTGGCTTGTTCAGTAACGTAGCCCTGAATCAAAAGCTTTCTCCTGCATCTCGTTGCTTCATGTGCATGCTTTCATCTGCTGCAGCTTATACTTACGCTTGCGTGTAGTTAGTGCGTGTTAATTGACCAGTTGATTCATTTCCCTATCTGACATACATCATTCTTGCCTCTTGGATGTAGCTCATTCTGATTTTGACCAAGGGTGTGGAGAAATGCTTTATGAAAAACTCTAAGTTTGATATGCGCCCTTTGCTTGGTGGGACGGATTCGGTGTTTTCTCATCTTATCCATGCATTCAGCTGGTATTGTAATTCTACCTTGCATTGCAGCTTTTGAATTGCTTCGTTAACAACTGTTGTGCTCTTCCATTTATAAAGTGATTTTTGTTCTGATTGGATTGATATCTTTACAGGAATCCTGCTACTTTCTTACGTGCGTACACTTGCCTTCCTCTTCCTTATGTTATTCGGCAGGCGGCTGCTGCTGCCCTTCAAGACATACCTGATTCTGGTGCTTTGTTCTCTCTTCTAATGAGTGGTTCCAAGGTGAGTTTGCAGCACAACTTTCTATTTCAATTATAAACTTTTTACACTGATTCATGGATTGGAACTAAACCTATTTTGAGACACTGAATCAGATTTTGTGGGGGCTTCTACGACTTAATGTTTAGTGTCTTTGGAGTATAGTTCGGTGATAAGTTCACTCATGTCAAGAGTAGTCGCAATCATAACAGCTTCAAATAAGTATTTTTCAAATTTAATACTTAAGATCGTGATGGATGTTCATTCTTAGGTTATAAGCCTTGCGACTCCTCGCAAAAGTTCCCTCTCTCCAAATGATATCTTCCTTCTCAGCAACTATGTGTCCTCCTCTGACTCTTTCAGGTGAGGTTCAGTGTTTCTGCTCCTACTTTTTCTTTACTTGCAGTGTTAGCAGCTCACGACTGTCCTTCATGATGGCTGAACTGTTTCAAGTATTTGTTTCAACTTGCATCAAAGTCATCGCCATAGTTTGTGTGGATGGGAATGCTCTCAGATTGAATGAAAATTTGCGTCGTTTTTTTCTGCCAGACTTTGCAAGAACAATATGCATCTAGAAGTAATTTTTCGCTACTCAGTAAAGTCCAGGCCTCACTATTGTTGATGATTAATGAAACATGAATCCTTGTGTGCAGAACAACGGAGTCGTTTTTTCCCGTCTGTCTACCAGGATACAATCCAACAGCATTTCTTTATGCATATGTGCACTATCTAAACGTAATTTCTCTTTGGAAAGTGATGATAACAAGTTCCTTCGTGCAGAGTGTTATGATATGAAGTGTGAGCGAGATTTTGAGGCCTTGGATTATCCTCTCAACTTCCTTTCACTTCTACGTATTTACTCATCTATTTTCTGATAGTAACGCCTATCCAGCTGTTGGGCTGCTTGCCTGGCTCTGGTCTATTCTTTTTTGCATGTGATATTCCTGTCTTATTCTGTTTTATCCCTTTCTAGGAAGTTGATTCAGATAACACACAACAGCCTTGCTCAGGCGTAACTGTTCTTTAAATTCCTTGTGCTTTGTTGCTTCAGAACGACACATGCCTGTTCCTTCTAACTGCCGATCCAGAAGGATTTTTCCGACTTCAGGAGTGCAGGTAATTACATTGGCGTTTCTAAGTTCGAAGTTATTGTAGTCCGCTTTTAATATGCTTACTGTTGCACATCTGATGCTACTTTTTGGGATGTGTTGTATTGTGATGGTTCTAAATTTTAGAGCTAATTTGTGCCACACTTTTATAAAATGATTTTTGAGGCGGTCCTAAACCTGGGTCGTTTATTCAACTCCTGAATGAATTCTGCCTTGCAGAGCACGGATTGAAACCCTTCTGCGAGAAACCGATGTGCTAGCCGAGGTTGCGAATGCAGTGCGACGTGGAGGCTTACGTGTCGAGCATTTGCTGGAGCCAAGGGCCTTACCTCTTTTGCTGGATTCAAACACGAGTTCTATTCTTGGCTCCTATGGTGATCATGAAGTACATGGACCAGGGGGAGTTGACATGCTGGGTCTTGTAGGAACTGGGGGGCCTGCAGGACTTAGGCACTTTGTGTATAAAACCAACTTCTTGGATCAGTATGTGGCTTCAGAATTTTCTCCCCCACTACATATTCCTAGTGCGCAGAAAAGGTACATAACTTTAAAAGCACCTAATGAGCAATTCATAACTTGTTTCAGGTGGGGAGCCTTTGCATTTGTAGTTATTGTGACTTCGCTAATTTTCAAGTAAATGCACAAGATGTATCGCATACGTGTAACTCACTGTTGTGTTTTGTTTGGATGCTTTTGATTTGCGTCAAAACTTATTCCAAATCTCTTCATTTGTTTGCGATTCTGTTGCACGGTGCATTGCAATCTTAATACATGATACGTCTGCTTTTGTGCTCCCTATAAAGTCAGCCGCTTTTGCATCCATTGGACAATCAATTTCTTGATCTAATTACAACTTTATAGATTTCATTTTCATACATAGCTTGTTAGTACAGATTGTACAGGGCATATCAGAAGCTACACACGTCGATGCATGGCACCGGAGCAGCAGGACCACACAAGATGCAATATCGACGCGACGATCACCACGGTATGCCTCTTCTTAGTTTCAGTTGTAACTAACTGCAATTCTAGATTACGGTTGCAATTCCAGCTGACCCATTTCTTGGGTTCTGTCCAGTGTTTTTGTCTTGGAGAACTTCAGATTTTGAGCTTCATGCGGCTTTCGATCCACTAGCAGACAAGGTATGTCCTGCTTGTCGTTGCCTGAGTATCTTTGCATCATACTAGGTCATTATCCTATCAGTATTTTTTCGTAGTGAATGCTACTGCAGTGGTTGTTGACCTGTCGATGCATTTTTTGATTGAAGATGGGCAAATTGAAATGAGGCTTACATCGCAGTCTTGAAATGCATGTGAACAATCTCCTCTTCAGGAAATCGTTATTTACCATGTAGATCTTAAGCCTCAAAGAGAATTGTTTATATCGTATTCGGATTGGTTGCTGTGTCATCGGCTTCCTGACATACTTCCTTCATGCTGCAGAACTCTGCCGTGGCGGTGTGTAATCGGCTTTGCCAATGGCTACGTGATTTGGAAAGTGATATCTTCTTCCTGGGAGGAACTCCTTTAAGTTGGTAAAACTCTATCGCAGGTTGATGTGCATCAGTGCTCGACTCATCAGATGTAACATTTGTATTTATTTGTTTTGAATTACATGCAGAGTTCACAGGGTGTGTCGGCAGCGTATTTGCTGCAGATGTTTTATTATCTACTTGTAAAATAATTATTGCACAATGCTTATAAACTTGTCCTCTAAAACTGCAACGTTCTTTTTGTTGCTGTCCTACACTTAAAGTTTTACGTGTTAAAGGTGCAAATTTAGGTTCTTCAGATTCAATGCTTGTGTTAGATTGTTCTGACCTTGCTGCATGTTACCATATGACTCGGCCATGGTCTGTCGAACTAGTTTATTTTTCTTGGTGATTTCGGAAGCTTTTTATTGTGTAGTATTTTGATTTGAATAAGGTTGTAGTGTGAGTTTGAGGTAGGTACGTGTAGGAAAAAGCTATTCAGAAAATATTGACGATAAGAACAAAGTTGGAATTGTTGATGGAACAAAGCTTGAAGAAGAGTTGCTTTGTTACTAATTTTGCAAGTATGTGGTATGTGTAGGTGGTGCTAAATAGTTAATAATGGTTTAGAGGTGTAGCAATCGTTGCATTATTTAGTATCGAAGCGATTTTTGATGTTTTGTACAAGTTGTTAAAAGATTACAAACCAGAAGAAGGTGGCATCAAATAGGAGCAAGTCTATATCTCCTTACAAATTTTATTCGCGGCTCAAAAAATATCTTACAAAACATGTCCCTTCAATTTATTTGGTGGAGTTAGAAGAGCCAATCACAATCATTATATCTTCATGTATATAGCTACAGAAAGCTGAAAACAAATAAAAACACATGTCGACATGAGGTCTAAAATGTCAATACAGAAGTTACAATATTATTTGAGGTTGCTAGCATTGTTAAAGTAGGATTCTACAATAAAATTCAGTGCCACATCTTAGCAGTTCAGATATAATGTTCTTTTTTCAGGAGCTCAAGATACTGTAACGGAAAATATGGCAATGGAAAATAGATTGTTTTTGGTGCAGAGTAAAGAATATTACAAATGAAGTTAGTGTAAGATTGAATAATACAGCAAAGTAGAATTTTGCACTATTGGTATTGCACTATTTGGTTACTTTATTGCATATGATTTGATGTTGAGGTATTATTGTATAATAGAAAATAATTTACATCATAAAATATTGTGCTTGTGATTATTTAGAGTTTGAAACAGACAATGAATCATAGAAAAAATATGATTCTTTGAGAAAGATATAACTTATTAACGGAAAAAAAACCAAACAATTTTTAAATCTTTATATATGTGATTGGATAGAATGTGTGTGTGTGTTTTTTTTTTTTTTTTTTTTTTTTTTTTTTCTTTTCTTTTCTTTAGTACTCTCTTTTAGAATCAAAGATAGTTCTAATCATGAGAATATTTGATTCTTTGTGACATGTTGATCAACTTTCATCCTACTATTTTTCATTTTGTTATTAATAATTTTTTATTTTTATTTTTGTTTTGTTTGTTTGTTTGATTGCACTTGCAACATTAATAATTGTAACATCAATTGGTGTAAAAGTATTGCATTCTAACAAAGGACTTGTACAAAAGTATTTATCAAGGACAAGAACTCAAAGAGTATAAATAAACAAGTGAGAGGTGTATTAAAGATAACAAAAGGAAATAAGAAAGTATGTATATTCAAGAAAAAACTAGAATGGCTATTGCCAAAGAGTAGAAAACTAGAGCCTCTTGAAATTAGAATAGAAATAAGAAAGAAATTGATAAGAATGAAGAAGGCATCACTCTTGTTTTTATATATATTATTCAACTAGAAGCCATATGGTAATGTTCTACAGAACCTCCAATATATATCTATTTTGCGGGACATATATTTAACTTGTAATACAAGTTTCTTATATATACACCACGTAGCCATTTTATTGGCCAAGTTTTTAATGTGTCAGTTATTTAAAAACATTTATAAAGTCAAATCCGTATTTTTAAAGCTTCTAAGAAGCTTTTCTACAAGATATTATCTAATTTATCTACTTTTATTTATTTCTATGTGACTCTTCTTATCTAAGTAATTTCTAATATTGGTCACATTTGTGACATTGATTTAGAGATTTGGAGTTGGCAATGTCATACTTAGCTTTTAGTTTTAAAATACCATTCTTGGCACATAGACTTAACCGCTTAATAGCTAGCCTCACAAAAAACTCAAGGAATTTTATCTCTGGCTAATGCATTTTAAATTATGGTTCTTCATAAATATTTGAGGATGTTGATCAAATTGTTTACAAATAAAAATTAAAAAGCTACTTAACGATCCTTAATTGTAATTGGCTTACATTTTAAGATCTTAAAACTTCAATTTCAAACTAAAAAGAAACACATACAAATTCTATTTCTTTTTGTATATTCATATATTGCAAGTTCATAAAATAATTTTTATTTCTTAAGACATAACATAATGTTTGTTTTTTCAAACACATAAAGTTATTTTGCTCTATACTAATGGTTTTTTATTTAAAAAATCCTTGCTTCTTACTACATCTCTTATTATTTCAAAGTTTCTTTTTTTAGTTGAATGCTATTATTCCAAGACTTTAGTAACTATCTATAATTTTCACATCATCTCCCAACTTTCTTTTATTTATCCTCTTTTGTATTTGCTACTAGATGACTCTATAAGCCAAATAGGTGATATCCAAGATACTTTGGAGCTTCAATTGGAGATAGTCAAGAAAGCTATAAAGAGTCATCTAATACACAATAGAAAGAATATTCTATATTTCAAGTTGGTAACAAAATAAGATTGTTACATTGTAATATAACAACCACTCGATAATTTGAAAAGTTAGCCTATTAAAATTTATGACTATTTTTCTATTCAAAAGAAAATTAATTCTTTTATTTACTATTTAGAACTACTAACATTTATGAAGATACATCATGGTTTCTATACCTTTCTTTAAGAACCTTATAAAAAATTAAGTGCATTAAAAAAATATGATTGCAATTGTTTTATGAAGTAAATAACTATAAAAAATTTATGATAGAAAGAATACTTTATTTAAAACTTAGACAAACAATTAAAATACTTTGTGCATTGACATAGTTATAACATTAATGAGTGTCTACAAAAGCTAGCTTTAAATTTAGTGAACGAGATACAAAAAGTACAAGGAATTTATTGACAACATCTTCTTTTAGATCTAAAGCAAGGACACATGTTAAGTAATAATTTTGAAATATCCAAATATAATTTATCTCAGACTTTGTAATTTTTTCAAAAGTGAAGGAAGCAGTTCTAAAAAATTTCAACAATTTAACATTCATATAAATTAATAAATCTTAAAGTAGTTCCAATCTAATCTAAAATTATAATATGTCTTTGGTTTAGCTTAAATAATTAAATATAAATAGTTCAAAAGATAATACCATGCCAATTAGACTATATCAACCTAAGATTTCACTTGGCACACCTCAAAAGAAAGAATTGATTGAATATAGAAGACATTAAAGAATATCTAGCAACTGGTTTGTGGTAGTCATCATAAAAGTGGAATCCACCTATAAAAAACGTCTTGAAATACTTTTTGAAGAATGGTTTTAAAACTAAGACACAAAAATTTAAATTCAATCCATGGTAGAAGGCATTAATCACTACTATTAGTTATAATGACCGATGAATCTTTGAACTTGCAAAAAAATCTTCTAACTTATAATGAATCTTTATAACTTGAGTATGTTGTTGCTACCATGCAATACATCTTTAACTTCCTTTGCCTTTAATTAACTTCAACTCTATCTCTTCTTATAAAACTTTAAGCTAAAGAAGGAAGTGATATCACAAATATTTGATGAATGAAGACTTTAAAAGGCTTTAAAAAGTTATAGAGGATTCTAATAGGCCTTAGAAGAGTCTAGAAGATTCTAGAAGGTTCTTAATTATTTTAAGAAATCCCTAACATGTTCTAGTAGATTCTAAGCAGCTTCCAAAAGGTCTAAGATTGTTTCAAAGGATCTTAGATGGTTTAAAAGGTTCTTAGAAGCTTACTTCATTTCCATGCATTAAGAAAATTTAAGAAGAAGCTTCTTTGCATCTAATATGTATTAGAGTCAAGGCTACAAGGATCTTTAGTCTTAACAATGCCATTCCTATGGCTTAGTTTGAGCCTTCATTTCTTGTTCTTCCATATTGTTGTATTTCTTTATTTGTGATATAAACTAAATCTTTTCTATTTCATTTTCTTAAACTTCTAGAGCCTTAGCCTATGCAAGTAATGTATTTGTAATAATATTCTCTGTAAGTTGATTCTTTGAAGCAACTAAATCCTCTTTTGATCAAATATTCAATCCTCATAACATGCCATTGCCTTGCTATTGTTTCATAGATCCCTTTTCAATCTACCATGTATTATTTTAGAGCTCTTCCATAAAGTTGGTATCAAAGGTTTTTATGGTTTATTTTAAAAAATACTTTTTATTATATTTTAAAAATATTTGATTCAATATTCTAGGTTAATATTGTTGATAACAACTAATTAAAGCTACTTAAATTCTTCATAAATTTTTAAAACATCCAACAATAAAATTAATGTTAAAGATAAAAAAAAAAGATCCAAATAAAGGTGATATTTTAAGGCAAGCCAATTAAAAGGTATATTTGTATAGGCTGTGAAGCAGAAGACGTCAAGAAGAATTTTTTAAAGAAATTAATGAAACAAAAGAAATAAAGAAATAGAGAAATAAAAAGAAATTACAAGAAAAAAATTAAAAATATAATGGCAAAAGAATAAAATTTAAAAATAATCAAAACCTTTATACTATAGAAAATAAAATTAAAAAAATGAAAGAAAAAAAACTAGATTAATAATTAATCCGAATTCTAAATTTTAAAAAATATACAACATCATTATATCTATAAGACCTATTTACATCATCAAAATATTATTAACTTAGATGGTTCTATTATAATTTTTTTAGTTAATATAATATCTAGATTAGTATTTGGTGACCATGATTTAAGTTTATTCTTAAAAAAAAGAAAAAATCGTACAATGCAACATCCATAATAATGACTAATTATGATAATGCACCAAGCAATGGTAGCCATTGCCTACTCTCTCACCTTTATACTCAAAAGTTTTAGACTGCAATGCTTTTTATTCAATTAAGTAAAATAAATTTGAAAACTACCCCTGAAATTTTCTGAAACATGGGTATTCTTGATAATCGCACACATACTTCTCAATTTTGTCATAATATCAAATCTATGTCTGTGTCTAATGTCACAAAATATTCAATTTTAGGATGAAATGAGGCCAAGCCACAAGCCGCGCGGCCATTTTCTGCTCTTTTTGGCCGTTTCTACAGTTGTCTCCTGAGAATTGTGGCGCGGCGCGCATTCCTTGCCGCGGTCTTCGCTGTCACCACTACCATGCTCGCACCCTCACCGCGAGCCTTCTATCATGAGCCGTGTCCAGAGTGGGCTTTGCTGAGCTACATGTGCCTTACAACCGTCTCCTAGGCACGACGTTGGGCCTGTCCCTCACCTCAGTTCACGTCATGTGTCCTCGATAACTAGTACTCCAATAGATTCGGGCATGTACCACGACAAAGCAGTCGTGGAATGAGGCACAGCAGAGCATGTGTGATGGTCTTGTCGCTTTTGAACCTGTTCTACACGGTCTGCGTGACGATGGTCCACATTGGGGCAAGTGTTCTTGTAGAACCCCATCTTCAATTCTTGCGTGCCATGTATCATGCACATCAAACTCACCAGCAGCAGCAGTAAACGGAAAGCTCCTTCTCGTCCTCTTTGCGCTATCATTAGTCTCACCCCAATACCTTCGACACTACAATCTCGAACTGGTACAATGTTTTGATCCCTCAAACTAATCTACACAAATCCAGAATTTAAAGCCCACTTCAAGCTCCAACACACTTCTTAAATAAGTTGAACCCCAGTAGGCATGCAGCTGGAGAGGCATTTATCAGCTCACCTAGTTTAGACCGGGATGAGCGACAACGCACCCTGCACTGCAAATAATCCACCGCAAAACTCACACCCACCAAGCAACTTTTCCACTTAAAAACTCCAGGTTACAAATGCCGTCGTTTCCGACCCACATCAACCAGGCTCTCGTCGAAAGCAGGCAAACTCTGAGCGAAAGATATGCAAATCACGATGCTGGTAGACTGCAATGATTTTACGATGAATCCAGTTGGTGCTTTTACAGACCCAGCTGGTGAAGAAGCAGGATAACAACTGATCGATTAACTTTGTGTTCTCGGCGAGTGGCATCAGCTTGCGTGATTTTTTCCAGCCGATCTCTGATCCACTTCCTTGTCTGGTACCCGCATCCCAGTGTGGATTCGCGATGTCTTGATCTTGACGCAACCTTCCTCTTTCTCTCCTTCCCCTCCCTCCTTCTACCGGTCAACTAGTGCTAGATTCTTCCTCATTGCTGTTGCTGCTATTCAACTTAGCTTAGCGGCATCTCAAAGTTGCAAAGAGTGATTTCGGAGCACAAATGAAACAGAAGGGTAAAATCTGGCGGACATGGAGGATTAGAGCAGAATTGGATGAATGGATACCAAAGACAGCAAGGGTTTTCGAGCCATCACAGCGCTGCTAACACGATCACAACACAACAATGTTTTAAACAATGCAATGGAGAGCCGATCAACTTTGCGACGATGTGCATGAGGGTGGATGAACCGTGCAGAACCCAAGGGGTGGGGTGAAATTTGCGTTTCATCGCACATGAGATAGGGTTATATCCGCGTTAAAAGTGCAAAGGGATGTTACAATTGAGGATCCGTGACGTGAACTGAGATGAGGGGTAGGCACAACGTTGTGCCTAGGGAGTCGGTTGCGTGACACATGTAGCTCTGCAAAGCCCACTCTAGACAGGGCTTGCGATACAAGGCCCGTTGTGAGGATCGCGGTGAGGGCTCGCACCCCGATCTATTCTTCTAACAATGATCTATTCTTGTAACATTTGAGATGTACATTTTAATGGAGAACCTTAGAGAAACAATGATCTGCTCTACTAACATTTGTAACATTAGTAGAGCAGATCATTGTTTAATGGAAAACCTTACAGAGGTGTTTTCTTCTTATATTCAAGAGATTCAATAATCCATTCTATCTAAAAGTAGCTTGTATTGATCTTATAAACAAACATATTGCTGGTTCCACTAACTTTGTACAAAAATATATTCCCTACTCCACAAAAACCTATTGCAATAATATATACATAACAATGCATGCCTACAAGCTTTCCAATGCCATCAACTTGAATAACAAAATATACAAAGCCATTAAACTTGGTTTATTAAAGGACACATGTAAGACATTTGTAACTACTAATTTATAACTTATACCAAAATAAATTGGAGTTACTTATTCAAAGATACACTTGTCACATTTCAACTTTGATACTAAGATATTTTTAATGATACCTAAGTTTAAGATATAAAGTATTATAAATATCCATCTTACTTGGATAAAAAGAAGTAAAATAGAAATAATAAGGTGTATGTTGAAAAAAAGTGGGAAGATAATGTCTTGTTCAAAGAAGTTGTGAGGAAGTGTTTTTTAGATACAAATCAATTATTTAGACTTTTATAAATATGCCACATAAGTATTGAAACTTATCACACATGTTTTTTACTTTTATAAAGTTGTGTTGGAAGCAAATTACAAGTTAATGATTGAGCTATGAGACTTGTAGTTCCTAAGAAGCTTCTATTAGAATTTTTTCATAGCTATTATATATGGAAGTAAGACTAAACCATTTTTAATTTTTTCAATACATCTCTTTTATTTTAATCTTAATTTAAGACTCTATGGTCCATTTGTAAATGAAAATAATCATCTTAGTTTTTTTATTATCATATTTATTTTTTATTTTTCTATTTTATTTTCAATGATATAAAATTATGTGATTTATATCTTCAATATAAGATTTAGGATTATTATCATCTATATTATTTAATTTTTACTTGACTTACTTTTCTTTCTTTTTTTTCTCTTTCTCTTTCTTCCTCCCTCCTCTCTCCTCTCCTCTTCTTTATCCATTCCTTCATTTTTAAGGGCTAGAATTTAAATGGTATTAATATTTTGCTTAATAAGTTTTTAGTTTGGAAAATTGTCAAGGACATACTTATAACTTCTATCCAAAAGGGATATTTTTAAGCATTAAAAACTAAGATGTGTATAAAAAAAAAAAAAAAATGACTAAGAAAACAACAACCAATACTTAATATCAAGAATAAGAAGGCTTAAAGGCTACTATAAGAACTAATATAAAAGATAAGCTGAGAAGACCAATGAAGGCCTCAATTTTGTTTCTACTTATACTACTTACAAGATCTAAGGCTTAGAGTCCAAACCTCTCATGCCTTGCTATGCAAGTAGTAGATGACTTCTAAGCCAAGTCTCAAGAAGCCCCTCAAGAAACTTCTTAAAAATACTTGAGATCCAAGTTAAACCACATTTCTTGATTCCTAAACTATTCTAGAAGTTTCATAGAGTGCCATGTAACATAGCTTATACTTCTTGCTCCTTAATATTTGTACATAAGAATTATGCAATTACAATAATGAAAGCTTGAGCCATAGTTTATATAGTACACAAATTTTGCCATTATTTATTTATTTATATCAATCAAATGGCATTGATATACTTGATTAACAAATCCCAAGTATTTAAATAACTAGTACAATGAATCCTATTCTTTTGAAAGCTTTACTTCATTTTTATTTCTAAAATCAATAAAAATCACAATGCAAGTGATGCTTTTTTTTTGTACAAACTTCAAAAATCTACATTCATACAATCTAGATGATAACTTGTTTAATGTAAATTTGTTTTCCTTATAACTAAATTGGCTATATCTTATTTTGAAGTATCTCCACTTAAGAACAATTCCACCTACAATGCAAGGTTTGTAAATACATTGCAAATCGTGCAATCATATTTTGGTTACAAAATAGTTTTTAATACTACTAAAATAAAGATTTTGTACTTTGAAAAGTTCTTTGAATTTTTTTTACATAATATTCCTATTGCCAATTATTAGCACCTTACAATATCAACCAACATCTCTATTGCATATTACATGTCTTATAACAATTGTCAACAATTTGAATACCTCACTAAAGCAATTCCCACCAAAATTCTCAACAAACCAATCCCTCTCAACAAACCAATCCTTAAATGGTAGTTGGAGTTTTTTTTGGACTGTTATCTTAAATAGTTCGATGCAGTTGAAGTTATATCTTTGTTTCAATTGATAATGCAACCAATTGATAATGCAACCAAGGGGCAGAGGCCTCATCAGCTCCTTATCATAGTTGCCCATCCATTCCGCAGGTATTCGAGGGCTAAGACTTATTCTGTGCAAGAGGAGAGTTGATAACAAACCGTCGTCGCCATCCTTGAAGAAGTGAGACCTCTTCTTCTTTTGAGATTCTGCAGCATGGCATCACAACTTCTTGTGCTTGTCGATCTGGAGGTTGAAGCTGCGGAGCATTGAAGCAAAGGTATAGTTTCTTCACTAGTATGCTGCTAATTATTCGTACAAATCCAAATCACTGCACGGCTTACTAGTTTGACAAGGCCACCACGAACAAACGCTGTGTAGGTAGGTAGCAGCATTCTAGTGTTTACAAATGTGCATGGACATTTCAAATGTCACCACAAAAATTCTTTACGATCATGTAGAGCGAAGGGACCAGATCACATGTGCAGAACAAAGTAGGTTATCCATCTGGCTACGAGACGGACCTAGAGCAGTTAAATGAAATCTTCTGGATTCGATAAGTCCATGAAGAAAGGGTACCAGGGTGAAGAAATTTCCGTAGCTGTAAAACATCTCGTCTATGAAGCCTTCGCAACCAAAGCTGTGTCATGAACCAGTCCTTGAGAATCATCTCGATCTTGTTCGATCCGATGTCCGCAGTGAATTAGGCTCGCCCTGGACACGTTACGCATCTCCTTCATCTGCTTTCACCAGGTTTGTGATGCGCATCTTACAGTTACGACTCTTTGAGTGATCATTTGTATTTGTTCTGAAGAACTAATATTTCAATCTCCCCTCCTCTAAAGCTAACTGCGACTCGCCCCCGCAGCATTGTGGAACCATTCGCTGAGAATTCAGATACTCCGTCCTCTCATCTGCTTCGTCCACCTCGATGTGCTTCTCATTCATCATCTCAGACGAAGACCTTGCCTCGTTCGACGAAGTCACCGAACTTCGTCCTCTTGGGGCATGGATAGGGTTGCATCTTTTCACAACTCGGAAATCTGCTCAGGCGGATGGAAACCTGCCCCGTTTCTCGACATCTGATAATTTTTCAATTGCCCCATTGTGCAAAATTTGTGTCAACACTGGAAATTTCTAAGATTGTTCCGCGAAATGCAGTTGTGTTTAGCTTTTCCGAATCTGTGAAGGGTGGAGAGGGAAGGAAAATGCGCCTGGCGACCTCCGTTTGGCTGGGGGTTTAGGCGTTTGTGGTCATCTTGCAAGTTCAATTCTGATTATTTCGCTGGAGTTGTTGGTCACTATGCCAACCTCTGTAGCGGGAATCTTTCATAACATTGTTAGTCTGCAATGTGGAATTCCAAATGGACGAGGTTGTGAAGCTCCTCGTGCTTTCTCTAGGTCTCCTGGCGTGAGTTGTAAGTCTTTAGGCTTCGTTGAGAATTTGTGCTCCCCGAGGTTTCGCAAGCAGAAAGTCAACTTGAGCAATGCCAAACGTGGCTCTCGATGTAGGAATACACTTACTACCGATGTTTACCAGCAAGATGAGCATGACATCGCTAAGAGTAAGAAAGAGGAGCATGAGAGTGGAATTGACTTGAAGCAATGGATGGAAGAACAGGGGTTGCCCAAGTGTAATGTAGCTCTGGTAGAACATCAACTGGCGGAGGGTGACAAGGGAAAACCTATACATTACGTTGTGGCCAGCCAAGACTTGCAGGTGACTGATATTCTCACTCAATGCTTTGCGCCCTGTCGTTCGCCAGTTTGCGCCCCGTAGTCTTTTCCATTCCACAGCAGCACTGCTAAAGAGTTTGAAGTCAGCTTTTACAAACAGTTTCCACAATTTATTAATTCAGATCTTTGAGGCATGTAAAGTTTTTACTTCATTTTGGCTCATTTCAGTGTCTTACTTTTCATGTACCTCGTGTGTGTATGTGTGTATGTTTTCTATAAATTCATTTTCATGATTTTATAAATATGATTTTATTTGAAGTAACAAAACTTTTATACAAGTAAAATTTAAGCAGAGTTTTGCTCGGACTCCTTGCAGCCTGGCGACGTGGCATTAACCGTCCCCAAGTCCCTTGTCGTCACATTGGAGAGAGTCCTAGGAGACGAAACAATAGGTACAAGTATTCTTCGATGCACTGCTTGGCTCCTTCTGATGTCTTTCGAGGCCTTGAAAACCTCATGTACTTCGAACATTCACGATTACTGAATCTCTAACAGATGCTCGAAATTGCTGTTACTCGTTGCGATCCATCGTTTTGAAGTTCTATAGTTGTTGCACCGAGAGTTCTAAGACTCTGTTGTATGATGCTAGGAATTCTCTAAATGTAGGAAGTTTGAAGAGGATTAATAGCAATGGACTACAGAAGTTCTAGCATCTTTGAATCGTGCTCGAAGATAGCCAATTACTTCTTATCCAAGAGTGTTCGTAATTAAACGCTCGTCTACTCTCGGACACTTCGTTTAGTATTGTTTAATGATCTTCAGTGTCTATCCTTTTTACAATCTATTTCGTTTCATGCCTTACTGGAAGTCGCATTCACCTATTTTTTATTTTATTTTTCTGCAGCTGAATTGTTGACAACGAACAAGCTTTCTGAACTCGCTTGTCTAGCACTTTATCTTATGTACGAGAAAAAACAAGGGAAAGAATCATACTGGTATCCATACATCCGTGAACTCGACAGGCAAAGAGGTCGGGGACAACTTTCAGTGGCGTCGCCGCTACTGTGGTCTCCAGAAGAGCTGAATGAGTATTTCACAGGAAGCACCATGAAGGTCTCGCTTACTTTGGCATGTTTTGATTTCTCTCTAATTTTAAATCCTCAAGGAAGTTGTCCCTTTTTCTTTGTAGAGTATTGTAAGTTTAAAAAACTCAATCATCTCAATCCTTTAAATTCAAAGCAAATTGAGAGGACCTGAGTATCGCTCTCCTTTTCATGTTATTTCTTTTCTTTTTGTTACCAATTATGTGATATTCTCTCGTATAACGCAGGAAGTTGTTTTAGAGAGGTTGGCGGGTATCAAACGGGAATACGAAGAGCTTGACACAGTTTGGTTTATGGCGGGTTCTTTATTTAAGGTATTCCCATGACCGACATTTAATTGCGAGATAAGCTCATCCCACTTTCATGAAGTTATATGCAGAGGATTATTATAAGTTTCTGATGATTTCAGGAACTTTGGTTGCCTGATTATGTGAACAGCAATACCCCTTCGACTTGCCCACAGAAGCATTCTCATTTGAGATATTCAAGCAGGCGTTTGTGGCTGTGCAGTCCTGCGTTGTCCATCTCCAAGTATGTCTTCCATCACCAAGGTCACTACCACAATTTTTCATTGCTCGATGTAATAAGAGCCTAGAAAGTTGCGGTACACCATTGCTTAGCGCTACGGGGTTTCTAAAATGCGTCAGTGGCTCTGTAGAATATTTGGTTTCTGGCTTTATTGAGGAATGGATTGCATTCTTCATCATTTATGATATGTTTTGGAGTCCTTAAAGATGTGTTGGTTATCATGGATTGTCCAACAAGCGCTCGTATCAACTTGCACATCTTCATGTGCAGGGAGTGAGTCTCGCAAGGCGATTCGCATTAGTTCCGTTAGGACCCCCACTTTTGGCCTATAAGAGTAACTGCAAAGCGATGTTGAAGGCGGTTGGTGATAACGTACAACTAGAAGTTGATCATGCTTACAAGACCGGTGATCCTATAGCGGTGTGGTGCGTTCTCTAAGTTATAGCTTATTAATGTTTTTGAGAATTTATTCCATTGTAATTGAGCATACTATCCCACTAAATTTGCTCTGAACAAACCTTTTTAATCAACAAATTTGAGACCCATGTGACAGGTGTGGTCCACAGCCAAATTCTAAGTTGTTGCTGAACTACGGATTCGTAGATGAAGATAATCCTTTTGATCGACTTGCAGTCGAGGTATTGCTTGTCTGCACTTCTTTCATCCTTCACCAACAGAAACTTCAGTTAATGTATGTGTGCTTGTGCGATTCTCGTCCACCCTGTAAGGTTATCACAAGATCGTTTTGAAATGTAACTACGATTGTGAATTGATACACATTGACGATATCGTGCAGGCATCACTTAACACGGAGGATCCTCTGTATCAACAGAAAAGGGCTGTCGTACAGAAGAACAATCGACTGACTATACAAACTTTTCAGGTGATTCCTTGCAGATGCGCAAAATACTATTCAGTGGAATTGGTACACTCTGTGTCTGAGTAGGCATCACGTATTCGTCAGATAATTTTGACCGGCATTTTTGGTAACTGGTGGTAACACTGTAAATGAGTGTTCAGATATACAAGGGCAAAGAAATGGAAGCTGTCCGGGACATGTTACCTTACATGCGACTTGGGCATTTGGCCGATCCCGAAGAGATCGAGACTGTCTCATTCGCTCAGGAGCCTCTTTGTTACGTAAGTTGAAGTTCTTCGATTGGCATGTGAAGTGCAGGCAGAGACTTTTATCTGTTTATGCATGTATTTAATTTTACTAAAGTATACACTCTTTATGGGATATTATTGAGCAATAACCTAACTCATGATTTGATTTGCGCAGGTAAGTGCCTGCAACGAGAGAGCTGTATTAAATCAAATAGAACATTTCTTTGAGCGACGCTTGGCTGGATACAAATCATCCGACACAACAAAGGTGAGCGTCATGTGTCTGTTGAATCAACTTGGAATGCATAATTATGAATTTGAACGAACTTATATGATCTGCTTTCACTCTAGTGCCAGTATTAATAATTACCACCAGCTGCGTACAGAATGGTATCTACAATACCCTGCTATTGAGCTTTTATTGTGTGGACGTTAATTGATGCTTCTGCCTGGACCTGTGCAGGCTGTTGATGCGAAGAAGGACGCAAAGAGAACAGTTGCAAAAAAATTGATGTCGATTGAAAAGAATATACTAAGAAATGCGTTAGCTGCAGTGCACGAATTGATTAGAGAGCTACCGGATGGTGCTATTTCACCCTGCATTGGTCCTTACCTGCCTAATTTGAAATGAAGACAGTTGTGTGAAGTGTAATTTCCTTTTTGTTTTGTTCACAAATGCATTCTCTGTATTTTACTGTGTCCTGAAGTATCAGATTTATTTTTAAAACTTTGTGGTGAACGATGTTCTGAAGTGATGGTTCCACGCTGTGATTGTTTATAATATATCTGAGTTGTCTATTTACGAGCTAGTTCCATTGAGGTCGTAAATCGTGAAATTTTCAAAAAGAATGTTGAAGCTTCCTCGAAGCATGTCATTTTTATTTTTTTTGTACACACAACGATGGTATTATAAAAACTCTTCACACTAGTTGGGGAACTCAAAGAAAATCAAGCACGTTCATCAAACTTAGCGTGCCGGTCCGGACGTGGTATGGATTAGTTCGCTTATTCAGCTTAAGTGTGTTTCTGAATTGTAATCCAATCTCAGGAACTGTTGTGCGTTGACATAACTTGCGTTTGGTTTTGATTTCTTTTCGAAACTTTGGTTGTATTGAGTGCCAGTCCTGTTTCTGCTCTGAGTTTGTGTGTAGCGTGAAGACACTGCCTCGAAAATTGGTCTCCACGAGAACACAAAGTGAACAGTAAGCTCGAGGTGACTCCTGCCTGGCTACCCCTATTGGAGAGCCAACTTCACACTCGGTGATGCAATGAGGCCCTTACTTGTAGTGTGTCTGCTCTAGGTAGTGGCGCTGTTCTTATACATCCATAGTATTGATTTGGTGCGTAGTTCATTCCACCCCTCCCCTGCCGTCAATCAGTTAAGTTCCATTTCTATTTCTTTTGTGCTTGTATTTTGGAGAGAACTTGTGTATTGATGGGAAAGTTGGGAGTTTTTGTGTTGTTTTGGTTATCATCAGAATATCAATTTTCCTTTTTCTTTTGTTTATTGACTATCCTTTTTCTGTTTTTTCTTTTTCTTTTTCTTGTGTTGATTGTGGTCTGTTTGTTGTTGACAATCAAGAATTTTTGCAAATTGTATTGGGTTCTTTCTTTTTCTTTCACTCTTATATTCATTCCAAAATTGATCAATATTGTATTTGAAATTCAATTTTGTTGTGTCTAGATTTTTTTGCATATTCTCAGCTCTTGTCAAAATAATACTAGGTTGTGTTTTAGTGTAAAATGACTTGTTACTTCTGTAAGATTTTGTAATTGGGGTGATGAAAATTTCAAATTTTTGATCAGCATATAGTTGCGCTTGAATTTTCTCAATATGATCAAAGAACTCTCTTGGTTTTTTAAAGTTGAGACTAATAGAGAGTTTTGGCTTTACAAAGGTGAGACTTGCAACATACTTTTGTTAAAATTTTAAAGGTACATTTTTATTCTATCATTTATTGATTAAAAAAAATCATGTTGAATATCTTAAAATAATATATATTAGAATTGTAACTAATAACTTAATCAAAGCTTATTGTTAACTTTGTATGATATTTATTTAGGAATTGCTTAAGTTGATTAATAAAAAAAGTGACATATTATTTATTTATTATTATAAAACATTGGATTTTTTCTTCTTAAATCCTTTTTGATGTCAAATTCAAGTGTTATTGATAAATACTATTGTCATTGTAAAAAAATAGTCTTAACAATATAACTCTAGTATACATTATAAGCCTCTTTTATTAATAAAATCATAAGAAATAAAATTGAAAGTCTACTTTGTACAATGGACTTAAAAAGACAATTTAATTTGCAAGATCTACAAGCTTCAAAATAATGGATATGAAAAAAATTTCTTGTAAATTGATTATATATTAAAAAATAATTAATCATCTTTTTGTTTTACTAACCATAATGAAAAAATCTATAATAAAAATTATCATTGCAATTCTACAAACTACATTTAAATATCAAAGGATTTACATGAAAAGATGCACCCATAGAAATAATTATAAGTAGGGGCACAAATTAAAAATAATTATAAAAAGAGGCATAATTCTCTTCCTCCTCTTAGCACCTTTTTGCATCTCCTTGTATTCCCTTGCTTTGCTATTGTAATTACTTCTCTTGTCTTTTGTCACAGACATATATATTTATTTAGATAAGAAGTACTAGATAGAAGATAAATGTAGGTAGATTTAATATTATCTTGTGGTGAAGCTTTTTGAGAAACTTCATAAACACATATTTGATTTTGTACATGTTTATAATTTATTAGTAGGTTAGAAAATTGGCCAATTAGTTAACTATGTATTGTAGGTGTGGATAGCTTATGGTATAAGCTAGCAATGTGACAAATATATAGAAAACTTATCTTACAAGTTAAGATGTATGACTTACAAATTAGACATGTCTTAGAGATCTTATAGAATGTCACTATGTAGCTCTTAATTAGATACTATATATGGAGATAAGAATGAAGTCTTCTTCAATTTTTTCAATGCCTTTATAATTCTTAGTCTTATTTTTGATAATAGCCATTCTAATTTGATATTATACCAAATTTGACTGATTTTTTAGTCTTTTTGAGTGACATAAGAATTTATTGATCTTTTAATTCTTTGAAATTTATTGTACATTGATGAAAACTTGGCTAAAAACTTCATGTGCCATTCTAAATTTTTAGTAGAGGCTCCAATTTTATTTGTAAAGAAAAAAGACAAATCTTTGCAAATATGAGTGGACTATTGCAAACTCAATAATATCACCATCAAAAATAGGTATCATCTATCTTTGATTTCAAGATTTTTTGATGAATTGAAATAAACAAAGATCTATAGGAGATGAATAAAAAATTACATTTTAAACTAACTATAGGCATTTCAAATATAATGTCATGCCTTTTGGACTCACAAATGCACCAATTACTTTTCAACATGTAATGAATAATATCTTCTCTAAGTTTCTTGATGACTTTTTTATTTATTATCTAGATGCTATTTTAATCTATTATAAGAATACAAAAAAATATGAATTTCATGTTTGTTGTTTGTTACAAAAACTAAGAGATGTAGGATTATATGTCAAGATAGAAAAGTGTTTATTTCACATTATTCAAATTGACTTTCAAAGATATATCATTTCAAATGATAGTCTTATAATAGATCCTAAGAAATCTCAAACTATCATAGATTGGAAGATTTCAAAAACAATCAGAGATGTAAAATATTTTTTGAAATTTCCTAATTATTATCAAATCTTTATTAAAAACTATTTTCAAATTGCGACTACTATTACACATTTGAGTCATAAGAACAAATTTGAGTGGAACAAAGAAGCCAAATATCTTTTGAAGTCTAAAAGGAAATATTTATTTCTATACCAATCTTGTATCACTTCAACTTTTTTAAGATATTTTTTATGAAAACAAATGCATCAAATTTTTTTTATGGATACAAAGTTGTCCTAATATCAAGGACAAGAACTTGATGAAAGTAAATAAATAAGTAAGACTCTTTCAAAGAAATAAAAATAGAGAAGTATGTATATTAAAAAGAATACTAGAATGGCTATTGCCAAAAGACAAAAAAACTAGAGAGACTCTTGAAACTAGACTAGAAACAAGAAAGAAGTTAACAAGAGTAAAGAAGGCTTCACTCTTACCTCTATATATACTATCTACCTATGATCTATGTAGTGATGTTTTATAGGATCTCCAAAAATATGTTGACTTTGTATGATACATATCTTAATTTAGAAGGTAAGTTTTCTATATGGGTGCCACATAGTTAGCTTATTTCGCAAGCTATCAATACATGTGGCATGTGGTTAACTTGTTGACCAAGTTTTTAATCTACCAATCAACTACAAATACATGTAAAGTCAAAACAACATTTAAGAAGCTTCTCTAGAAGATATTATGAAATTAATCTATTTTTATCTACTTTTATCTATTCATATTACCAAGATAATAATTAGAGTAGATATATATCTGTAATATTATTCTTCTTTTTAGGGACAAGTTCCACAAAGAGCAATGATCTCATGTTGAAGAAGTCTAAGATACATGGAATTGTATTTGCCACATATTTTAATCTTTGTTCCTTTTGAAGGTAGTTGATAGGTCTTCTCAGCCATCAATAATATTCCATTCTAGGGTGGAAAGACCACCTTATCATTTGATCATTGTTGAAACCTTTATAACTTCCTTCAAACAAAATATTTGTAACACCATTAAGAGTCGTGCTTACCTCCAATAAAATCACCAAACATCGAGAGTTTCTTTTCAAGTAGTGATAATAAATACATTGTATCTTGTCATCTATTTGAGGAAGAATATATTCTTCTTGAAGGTCTTTATCTCTATTATGTCATCTTGAAGGCCGTAATAATTCCAATGTCTCATTTGGTAAGTCAATAAATAATGGCTCTTGATTTGAATCTACTGGCTATTGGTTTTTTGATTTGCCTAACGCCATAATTATATAGAAATTACAAATAAGGATAGAAAGTAGAATAAAATCTTTCATAAATTATATTTTTTTATAGCAAAGATATTCTATCCTTCATCTTGGTTTTAATGGATGTCATTGATGAAAAGCTTTGACCTTCTCTATTGTATTTAAAAGATTTTTTGTTGGCTTCTATGTATATTTGCTAATATTGTATCTATACTAATGAATAAGATATTTTAACTCGTGTCAGTGCTACCTTGAGTCTAAGACTTCTTTTACCTCAAATTCTTGATCATTATCTACTTCTATAGGAGGTAGTGGTATTTGTCTTTTTTTTGGAATATTCATTGTCTTATATGACTTTAAAAGAGATATGTAAAATATGGGATGGATTTTCATATACTCTAATAGATATAATTGATAAGCAATTGAATTGACTTGTTCTCAAATAGAAAATGGTCAAAGTCTACAATAAGCCAACTTGTCACAAAAACAAATAGTTTTAATATTACAACAAAGTAACTATACCTTATCACCAAAGTAGAAATGAGGTTGTTCCTTGTAATAAGTATCTACATTGTTCTTTTGTTGTTCTTGAGCCTCTTTTAGTCGTGCCTTTATTGTTGTATATAACTTAAATAAATGATTTGTCAAATCTTCTATTATATGATTATCAACTTTTGAAAAGTCAAAAATATCAAGTTGTAGATGATATCTTTAAATAACAAAGAAAAGTGTTTG